ATGGGTGTCACTTAAAGACTTCAATTGGGGGAGTCTTGTTGACTGCTGTGGGCATAGATGGAAACAATGGCATGTATCCAGTGGCATATGCAGTGGTTGAAAAAGAGAAGAAAAAAATCTTGGGGCTGGTTTCTAGAGTTTTTGATTGAGGATTTGAAAATAACCAACCCATACCACTGGACTTTTATGTCAGACAAGCAAAAGGGTTTTGTAGAGTCCATTGACACTCTCTTACCTGGGGCTGAGCATAGGTTTTGTGTACAACATCTTTATAGTAACTTTAAAGCCTCACATAAGGGTTTGGCTCTTAAGAGCTTGTTGTGGAAAGCTGCAAGAGCCACAAGAGTTTAGGATTTTCAAAAAGCTATGATTGAGCTGAAACAGAGAGATGTAGATGCATTTGACTGGTTAAATGCTAGACCACCTGCAAATTGGTCTAGGTCTCATTTCAGCACACATTCAAAATGTGATGTGCTACTGAATAATCTCTCTGAAAGCTTTAATGCTCTTATTGTAAGGGCTAGAGCTCAGGCAATAGTGAAGATGTTAGAGATGATAAGACTGACTCTAATGAAGAGAATTCATTCAAAGAGGGATCAAATGAGAAAGCACCATGGGCAACTGTGTCCTAGAATTGAGAAAATGCTTGAAGAATTTAAAAAGAAGAGCATGGAGTTTGTTTGCTATTGGAATGGGGAAGATCAATTTGAGGTTGAGAGCAGCTCAGGTTCAAAGTTCAGGGTGCACATTGGGGAAAAAACTTGATCATGCAGAAAGTAGGAGCTCAGTGGAATTCCTTGTGCACATGCTATATCAGGAATGTACTATTTGGGTCATAACCCAGAGGATTATGTGGATGAGGCATACAAAACAGAAACATATTTGAAGATGTATAGCCACTTAATGGGAACTATAGGTGGATCTGATGAGTGGCCAGAGGTGGAAAACTTACCATTGATCCCACCAATTGTTGGAAAGCTACCTGGGAGCCTCAAAAAGTATCATATGAGAAAAGGAAATGATGAAGCAAAAGGAAAAACGAAAATGGCAACAGAAACTGGTGATGGTTTCAAACTAAGCAAAAGAGGAGTTGTCATGAAGTGCTCAATTTGCAAACAACCAAATCACAATTCAAGGGCTGCCATAAAAACCCTCTTTGTAGATCCACCAACCAAGGATTGGATTTGCCAGCAACTAATACCAATGGAAAGGTGCAATAATAAGTAATTTTTTCATTGTTTGTTATGTTTTGATTTGATTTATCTTATGTATACTGATTATGGCACTTCACTTTGTGTTCTCACTATAATTATGTATTCTTGCTTGTCAGGGTAAGGAAAGTTGTGTTGAAGGTCAGACTGAGCCTGTCATTAGAGGAAAAGGGAAGGTACAATGAGTCTATCTCAGATTGATTTGTGTACTAATTATTATTTTCTGAATGTTCTGTTTTCTTGCTTTTCAGAGAAAGAAAAGAGGTTTTGAAGGTACTGGTATAAATGAGTCTGTCAGTAATGCTGCAAATGAAGTATGTGGGAAAGCACCTAAAGGAAAAAAGGAAGGTACAATTGTTTAATGTTATGTTCATTCTATGTCTTTTTTATTATTGGAGCATGTCATTAGTGTTTGCTTGTTTTGCAGAATAAGGAAAAAGGTCTTCGAGGTACTACTAGTGGTGTAAATGTGTCTGTGGTTGTCACTAATGCTACTTCAAGTGCACCTAATGGAGAAGGAAAGGTACAAATTGTGTCTGTGTTCATTCTTTTATTGCTGTAGGTTTTTAGTTGTCTTTTGATTATTGTTTTCTAACTATTTTTTTTTCTTGTTTGCCATAGTGCACCTAAATCTAAACTGAACATTTTCAGTCAAGAGAAAAGAATGACCAGAAGTACCACTTATGGAAAACCTAAGGCCTTCACTCAGCCAATAGGTGCAAACCCACGAAGCAGCAGCATGTTTAGTAATGTGAGATTCTCCACGACAAAGCCAACTGTCACCTCAAGCCAGACTAGTGCAAATCAAGTACCAATTAAAGAAGCTCCACCAAAAAGAGTGACCAGAAGTAGCATGACTCAAAATTGCAGACCAATGTAGTAGAAATAGTCCTATGTATTAGTGGTGTTAACTTCCAAACTTTTTTGATTGTTATGAGACTTATGGTAATACTGATGTTTTGGTCTTGATACTTTCTGATGTTTTGTGATTGTTATGATGACTTAATGGTGATATTTTGGTTTTGATACAGTGGCATTTTGATATTCTTAATGGCATTTGTGATGGTCTTCAAAGTTCATTAATGGCACTTTGGAATTTATTATGTTTGTTTGTGATGTTTCTGGTATGATATTGACAGATGTTTGTGATGATACCTTTGAATAAGCCTTACAATACCAAAAAATCCATACACATTGATTACACAAACCATTTGAATAAGTCTTACATAAACCACTTAATAGTTCACTTCACAACTCACCCACACCACAATCACTCCACCTCAAACAAAGATAAGAAGTCTAACACCATAACAACTTCACCCAAAACAAGAACTTAACGAAACATGCTAAATATTCCTACTTCTTAAGGAGGAAAAACATCATGATCCATGAAATAACCAAAACACACCACAACATCTTCACCCTTTTTTTCTTGCTTGCCAATTCATCTTCAGTCAGATTAATGCGTCTCAAAAGTCCAGGTATAATTTGTCGCGCTCTTGTACACATTGGAGGGTCGATCCTCACAAAATGCTTGCAACCCTTATTCAACAAATCAAACAAATGTAAATTCAAATTATCAAGAAAAATCCACCTGCTGTTC